ACAAACGCGTTTCCAAACAGGTACCTGTTATAGAATAATTTAATAATAAAATAATAGAATAATATAATAATACAATAATAGATTAATAGAATAATATAATAATTATTCTATTCAATTATAATAGAATAAAAGAATAAGACAGGAACGTGTTTGTTTTATATTTAAGAAACTTAAAACTTTGTTTTTTAATTTTCATTTGCAGTCTTATGAAATTCAATTTTTAGACGATTATGACTGTATTTATCAAAACGATTTGTCTATACCCGCTTGTATATTCTTCAAAATTGGATGGGCAATTTGTTACAATGAGACACTATGTATTTTCAGATTAATTTATTTTGTAATAAAGTATTATTCATTTATTCATTTGAGTCTTATTTCATATTTTTATTAATAAGTGTTATAATACCATGGTTAAAAGATTATTAAATCTATAAAAAATAGGTAAGTATACCTATGTGTTTATTAATAGGTGGGTCAGAATTTCTCAAACGGGCCACCTGAATTAGGTCAAAATTAGTTTTTGTTTGTAGATACATTTTTTTGATAGTATTTTACATCACTAACACAAATCCTAAAGGATTTTGTAAAAAAAAAATTTTCAATTGATATATTCATGATATTAAAAGTCAAAGTTTTTAATAATTAAAAAATAAAAAAATTTATTATGGCTGAACTAATTATCCGATTCCAACGATATAACTAGCGTTGGAATCTTGTTTTGACATAGATTCTTTGTTATTTTTTTCAATTGTCCTATTTTCATTTAGGTCGATTTTTTTTTGTTTTTTTTATACCAAATTCGGAAATAATTGCCTTCTGCGCCAGCTATCGACTCGAGAAAAAAAACACATATACTCCAATCATTTCTCGAAATTATGCTGCTGAGAAAAAAAATGGCCCGCAGGTTGACAAAAAGTTATTCGTCCTTTTGTGGCCGCGCGCGGTGTCAGCTCACGCTCCGAACCGTGTACGCTGTACGCGCTTGTGACGCGACGTCTTACGGTGGTCTGGAACCTGCGGGCCATTTTTTTTCTCAGCAGCATAATTTCGAAAAATGATTGGAGTATATGTGTTTTTTTTTTTCGAGTCGATAGCTGGCGCAGAAGCCAATTATTTCCGAATTTGTTATAAAAAAAACAAAAAAAAATCGACCTAAATGAAAATTTTACAATTGAAAAAAATAACAAAGAATCTATGTCAAAACAAGATTCCAACGCTAGTTAAATCGTTGGAATCGGATAATTAGTTTAGCCATAATGATTTTTTTTTATTTTTTAATTACTAAAAACTTTTACTTTTAATATCATGAATATGTCAATTGAAAATTTTTTTTTTACAAAATCCTTTAGGATTTGTGTTAGTGATGTAAAATACTATCGAAAAAATGTATCTACAATCAAAAACTAATTTTGACCTAATTCAGGTGGCCCGTTTGAGAAATTCTGACCCAGGTACATAATTTATAGATTATGTATACATAAAATATTTTAGTGGTCTTTTGGTAATTGTAGAGGCTACTAATCTGAGCCTGATAAGGCTCAGATTTTAGGCCTATACCATTGAGTTCTTTACTCAATGCCTATACAATCTGAAACAAGATTTTGTGAATATGCCCAGAAATAGGCATATATCAATTGTTTTTTGAAATAAAAATTTAGCCTGTTACCGAGCCTGTTACTGTCAAAAGCAAATCCAAAAGTGTCACAAACCCAATTAAAATGCATAGATCCAAATCTTATCAATTTTAGATGGCCTTAAATTATAAAGGGTTTTTAATTTTTCAATTAGGTTTGTGACATTGTTTGGATTTGCTTTTCATCATAGCAGGCTGGGTTTTTATTTTGGAAAACAATGGGATAGTTAATTTTTTTCTGACATACCTTTTTAATGGTTTCATTGGATGCGTTTTTCAATTTTAAACATCTCTGTGAAATCAAAATTTTGATTGCGTTTACGGTTTTCGAGATATTTACAAAAATAAATCTCATGTGGCGTCATAAGTATCCATCATGTGACCAACATTTTAAGATTTCTATTTGAAAATTACCCTGTTGTCAATACGGAAACTTTCAACCAATAGAAATTTGAGAATATTGGTCACATGATGGATACTTCCGACGTCATATTGAGATTTATTTTTGTAAATATCTCGAAATTAGTATGCGCAATCGAAATTTTGATTTTATAGAAATGTTTAAAATTTAAAAACGCATCCAATGAAACTTTAAAAAATGTAGGTAAGAAAAAAATTAACTACCCCATTAATAGGTCCTAAATAATATCCTGTATTTTGATATTTATTATAATTAATAATACCCTATACAATATTTATATTATAATTTTAAAAAATATATATATTAATTTTTACAATACGTTTCTACTAATCACTACTATTTATAGAATATTACTTTTTAATATTTAAGTTTAATAAACCTATTTTTAATATACAAGTTTATTAAGCTTTACAATACTCAGTAAATAAACACTACTATAAAATATATTAATTGTTACTATTTAAGTATAATACAGTAAATATTATACTTTTATTGTAAAGGCTACTACATCATTTTATTATCCCAACTGGTACTATATTATATAGCAAATTTTACTATAATTATAGTTATAATTATGATATATTTTTCTCCGTGTACGCATGAACTAATTTTTTCATAATTTGAGGAAAAATTAAGTAAATTTAATGAAAACTTACCTATTTAATGCAAAATCACTAGCAGCAAAGTTTTCGTAACACAAAATTTAAAGAAGACTGATATTAGCGCCTCTGGCGGCAAAAATGTGAGCGTATATGGAGTGCTACCGGCGTTACGCACAATCTGGGGGACACAGCTTTAAGGCACTACCGAAACTTTGATATTGTAAAGAGGAGTATAAGAAAAATTGATTAAAAAATTACGTAACTGTTTCTATATCGTAAATTATTTAAATATTTATTTTCAACTTTGGACAGTAAAATGCAACAGATTTAACATAATAAACAGACGACAGGGACATGTGACCGGCGTTACATTTGGTCATTTTAAACTTCGTTACTTTTAATTTTTTTTATACAAAAGCTACCGTACTTTGTTTTTTACTGGAAAATATATGCCTTTACACAGCAATGGTATGTGTAACCAGGTAATGCTTGAAAAAAATTTTTTTTTGCTAGGGACTGAAATGTGCCTGTAAATAAATTTTGACTAACATAGTCCCTTAGCTTAAGCACTAAATAAACTCAAAATGATAGTTAACCATACTTTTTTTTCGGACTTGACATTTAGGCTAAGCCTACTATGTTGCATTGCCGCCTATGAAATCCTTTTATTCATATAGATATTTTTTATTTAAATTAATAATCCCTTCGGCTGATTTATCCTAAAACACAGTATGTGTAAAAAACAAAATCGTGAGAAAAACGTGTTTTAGTTTTTTGATTTAGCCTCTGTAGGGTATTTAGTGAATTCTTTTGAAGAGTTTTTCATCAACAAATAGGCCGGGTTAGAGTTTTAATACAGTAGGTATATGCAAAAATATAAAAAAAACATGTTCTGAAAAAATGTTGGATACTGTGTTTTGGAATGGAGCAGCCGCCTTGTATTTTTATCATTTTAACGCACGTCTAAAAACATGTCTAGGATTGAACTTCTCTACATACGGGTTTCTTTTATCAGGGAAATTAATAAACTGCTCATAAATATTGTTCAATAAATATTTTATTAGGCTATTGAATAAAATATTATGTATTTAAAAATAAAACTTTGTACAGGGTGATCCCCTATAATGTCGCCCCCCTTTAACTTTTTTATTTTAAGTGTCCCAAAAAATTTTCGATTCCTTGTAAAATTCTGAGCATAATTCATATAACAAACCATATCCTTAATTCAACTGTTTCTGAAATATTCGCATTCGAAATGTTATCATTAATTAATAAAAAACATTTAAATGTTTTTTTTAAACTGTTAGAAATCAAGAACCCTGAGTATACCAAATTTTTTATTGAAAATAAATTATTTTAGTGACATTATATCAATATGTCTTGTTAAATAAGTAAAAATGGCATACTCAGACAGAAAAAAACAAACTATTTCAACTTATTATCTTAAAAATAATTTAAATATTTCAGAAACGGTTGAATTTAGGCATATGGTATGTTTATATGAAATATGCTTAGAATTTTACAAGGAATTGAAAAATAAATACATATATAGGGTGATCCATTGAAAAAAAATAAACTTTTTGTTTTTCCCTGTATACTGATCAATTTTCTAATTTTCTTTATACGTAGAAAAAAAGTATTTTTTAGTACCTACATAACCACACTTTGAAATTTTTTCGGACAATTAAAATAAAAAAGTTAAAGGGGGGCGACATTATAGGGGATCACCCTGTACAATTATACATTTTTCTTTATTTAATTAAAACTAACTGCAAAATATAATTTATAACAAAAAATTTAAATTTAATAATAAAAAAGCCGTATATACAACTACTTCCTTTTAAATAAAGAAAAATGTATAATTGTACAGGGTGATCTTACTTAAGTTAAAACTTTTAACCGAGGTTTTAACGTATACTGAACAAAATAAAATAAAAAAAAATGAATATAATATGAGTAAATATATAGTGAATAGTCACATGCAAGATAAAGGTCCAACATACGGGGTTTTTGATTAATAAGAAAAACTGCTCAATAGATTTTTTTAATTTTTGGTCAAAATCATCCTTACGTCACATAGAATCTATGTATAGAAAGATAAATGAGTTAATTTAAAGTTGATTTAAATCGTCAAACTACCGCACCGTGTGTTGTGATATCAAACTTACAGCGTTAGAAGTTCGAAAAATGTTCGCCCTGTATATTGATATATAAAGCGAACTTTTACGGGGAACAGGTGTTAAAGTTTGTAATTTTTGCGAGACCAACTTGCAGTGATCTAATACACGGTTGGATGTATCATAATATTTCTAACTATTTATTAGAAACTTTATGCCCTTAGGGTCCAGACTACAACTCGGAAAGCGAATCGGAACAGGCGGCCGAGGCGGTAAGATTGAACTCGTTGCTTAAGGATTGGGAAACCGCCAGCGCTGGATCTCGATCGTTGCCCGCCACCCCAAAACGAAGGCCCAAACCGCCTCCGGGGGGCCGCAACGATGCTGTACGATCAGCGGAGGCGGCGAGGGAGGCGGCGGCGGACAGGCAGCACCAGCAGCCGCCGCTGTCGCACGATAGAAACTACGTCTCGCAGGTGAGAGCATTGTTTTATAACGACCGGTTGGTTGTGCATATTACCTCAAATCTCTAGTAATTACTCATTTTAACAATAATTTTTTTTCAAAAAATTTTACGTTGCCGGCAGCTCATTTGGGTACGGTTGCCGGCAGCGCAGGAATTGCCTAAATTTAAAATCTTTTGTTTTAGTGAGTACCTATGTGTCACTTTATCTCAAGCAAATTATGGATGATTGTTATTTATAAATTTAGCATTTTAACGGATTTTAAAAATTTAAATAGCATTGAATATTGAATCGAAATACCTTTCAAATGAGGTATCACAAGCCCCCATTTCCATTTGAAATTTTTAAGTTGATACTGCCGTCTTGGCAGTTTTTAAATAGACACCTATCAATTTGACTTCAAGAATTAGTATACTTAATAATATCCTTGACAATGGTTTCTGTCCTATGTCGATACCTTTTTTCGCTCAAAAGATATACAGGGGGGGCTTTTAACGTACGCACTGTATAAAATAATTATAATAATAATATAATAATATAAATAGATATTAACCAATACTATATTGACAGTTAAAGGAAGAAATCGTCACGGTGCATACATAAACGCATGTCTCTTTCACAACTACTTCGCAACTCCCAAGAATTGACTCAACGAATAGAACAACGGGCCTAGTAATAGAGAAGGAGATATAAGTAGCCTCACTTTGTCCGTGACTATTTAGTGGCATTACCAATACCTATGGGTACCACCAACTGCAGAATAAAACCCCTTAATTTTGCAATTACACAACTCGACAAAACAAAAATGTTTTCTTGTCCTTGATGTTATTCCATGATTTTTCTATTTATCATGCACCAAAATCAAGAAAAAATATTCACATCCTCTTTTAAGTTCGCGATACAGGTTGGCTGAAGCTACACCATTACCTCTGCATTCACCATAAATGAGGAGCATCCGTGCAAACCGGCTAAATCCATTTTATTCAGTTTTTGTTTTTTTTTCGGATTTCGCATCTTTGGGTTCATTTCTATCGACAACCAAGATAATTCTGTTTAAATCCGACTATATCCATGTTAAAATCACATTTCAAAGGTAGCTTTAGGAGCAAAACCGGCCATGTGGCTTGGATATGTCGATACTACTACTAAAATTTGTTCTGTTTTTTCATGTTTGCACTAAATTTATTTTGTTAATATTTTTGAATAATAAAGGTTTTTCTCGATTTTTATGTAAGAATGTCATATTCTCGCACGCAAAATCGTTGAAGAATGAAGCTCATTCTTAAACGATTTTTGGTAACATTTAGTTTTTAAGTATTGGTACCCCCAAAATGTCAAACTGTTTAATAACCTCAAATTCATTACTTTTATTGAAAATGAAGCCTTTATTATTGTTTTGTAATATTAAGTTTGCTCCAACAATGCATTTTAATGCAAAATTTTAAGTTTTATGTGAAAAAGTGCAGTTCAGGTTGTACTTGTGCAGGATAACAAATATTGTCATTTTGTGTTGCCAACTGACATTTTGCGAGAAAAATCCCCCAACTAACAACGACCACAAAACAATTAAAAAAACCTAAATAAAAGTTAAAATCGAGAAAATAGTATAAATCACACGTTGCAGAAGGCTATTCTCGCACTTATTCGTTCGTCCACTCGCTCCTTCGTCGCTCGAGGCCAAATTTCGAATTCGTGCGAGAATATGTGGCCTTCTGCAACTTGTACTTTAATATACTATTTTCACATTATATTCGGTTTTTGAGCAAAACCGGCTATATACAAAACATTTTTTAAAATTTTGGCCTTAATATAAAGTTTTTAAAAACGAAAGTATGTCTTATAAATCAAGTACCACAAAGCCCACAAAACTCAAGTTTGCTTTTTCTTTTATCTGTAAAGGCCAGGAAACCGAGAGTTTTTGCCATTTTCCCAACATTTTATTAAAGTGGATATAGCCGGTTTTGCACGGATGCTCATCAAATGTAATGCATGCAAGTTTAAAAAGAACAAACAATATTGTGGTTGTAAATAAAAATAAATTTGGTATTGTAATTACAATATTTTTATCCTTGATAATTGAAAATGTTACTTAACCACTTGCTTCTTCAATTTAAAAGAAGGCTAACTAACTAAATGAACCAACGAAATTTGTTATTATGTTCAATACAATAACTCCAAATCACTAGTCAATACAAAAATCCAGATTACAAAAAAAACTGTTAATTTGTAAGTACAAGAATAATGCGAATATGCAATTGTTTTACATCGTAGAATTTTTTTATATCGCCCAGCAATTTTTGTACATAGCAACATGGCAATTTGTTTTCACAGTATTAAGAGTATTGTGTATTTAACAAGTGTTTTTGTTTGCATTTTTAATTATTAAAATTTGTCAACAATGAGCTCGTTTTGCAGTAAAAAAAAAACAATATCTTCTTTTATAACGTGGGAAATTTTTTACAATTTTAAAAACTACACTACACTAAGAAATTTATATAACAAATTTCAATACAATTGAGGAGGCTAAGCCTCTATAACACCACTCCAAATATATTTTTATAATTTGTACATTTAAACATTGATTCCAATAAGGGACAGCATAATTAAGTAAAGCGTCAAGTCATGTTAGCGTTGGGATTGTTCTTAAGAATGGTATAAAATATAAATATATTTTATGGAATCTCTTTTATGATCCATTAATATTGAGTTACACGCTGCTTTGATGTATTATACCGACAAATTGCTTTTACGTCAACAGGGTATAGGTACTCACGCTTTCAGAAAAACCAATAATACATAATTTTCAATTAATAAGCTACGTGTTGCCTGCAGTGACGTAGAGAGAGGGAGTAGGGGGCGTCACCAACCAAACTTTTTGGAGTCGGCATTTTTCGAGGTATTGATAATATATTCCAATATTTCCATTGAATGAGAACATTTCGGCGATTTTGAAAATTGTTTAGTTAAATATTTTTAAAAATTCAAAAGTGAATTCAGATTACTAGTCATTTATTATCTGCTGACTGCAGCTGCAGATAATACCGACTAATAGCTTATCGATTTGAATAAGTATAGTAGGTAAAGAGTTTACTCATTTATTTTGGAAATACTTATTCAGCAAATTCGATGTATTTTTTATGGAAAATGAGGAATGAATGAAATATCTTTTTGATATTTTGATACTTTAACAGTGCTCATGACGTATATATCTGTCATAGGCTACGTTTTCCGAGTGCGCGTGACGGAGCGATCCGTCATGGGTCCATTGTTTTCAAGTGTGAAAACATACTAGCTGGCCAAGTACTGAGTACTTTTACTCGTATTTCAATTACTACTTTTTTACTCATAAGTATTTTTCATTTGAAATATATGTATATACTTACTTAGTCGTACTTACAAACCAAATTCAATGTACTCGTAAAAAATACTCGTAAAATTTACGAGTAATATATACGAGCAAGGGCGTCGCCAGAGGGGGGCAGGGGGGGCAGCTGCCCCCCCTAGAAGTTAACTCTCACAAGTCACCCTGCTAATTGAAACGATAAACTGAGTGTTGTGGAAATCCTTAGAAACTGAAGATTTTTTTCCTGAAATTAAGAAGGCTTTAAAGATCCTTGTTGCTTTACCTTGTACGACTTTTACAGTTGAAAGGACATTCAGTAGCCTCAGGAGAATCAAAACCTGGTTGAAGAGCACCATGTTTGAAACTCGACTCAATGGCCTCGCAATGATGAGTGTACACAGGCAGGGGCGTGCTGGCTATATCAGACCGGCCCGGGAAATTCAGAAAAATCGGCCAACTACACGAAAAATGGGGGGTGAAAAATTTCAAACATTTTTTAATAATTAATAACAAAAAGTATAAATTAAATTCTTGAAAAACAAACAGGCAACAAACACAACCAGACAATATTTTACACAATGCTAAAACATATAGCATTGCACTTAAAATAAAAACTAATACAAATTATCATCGCTCAGGAAACTTATAAACAATATACAATCTCAAAAAAAGAAACAAAGCTGGCAGGCTGGCATGTATGGTATGTGTAAAATAATTATGATATTTATACATAACTCAACTAAAAAAATTTTTAATTGACCACGTGCTGCGGCATGCTGCCTGCATAGCCCTCCGGACCACTGGCCCACTTAGCCCTCCGGACCACCGACCCACCGGGATTTCTCCCGGTGTCCCGGCGGCCCAGCACGCCCCTGTACACAGGCAACACATTTTCAAAAACTTGGACGATTTCGTCAACAAAGTGTGTAGTTATTTTGTTCGTTTTTTTTATTAAAACTTTTCTTTTATGCTGCCTCCCCCTAGCTTACCGGCTGGCGACACCCTTGTATACGAGTAGTTACGCACGCCAGGGCTTAAGTAATATAAATGCAAGTTGAAAGCAACTCTAAATTTTCTTGCGAAGTATGTTTTATTGATATTGATTAAAAATCAAAATCGCAAATCAGCCCGTTTCTTTTTTTTTTAACCAAATTCCGATTTTTTTTTAAATGACATTTTGGCCATTTCAAGCGCGCGAAAAGCATGAATAACAAAACTGTTTTTATAAAAAAATATTCTTCTTTTATTAGGTTATACTTACAAGCAATATTTTATAAAAGTAGAGATAATTTTAATAATTGAAAGGTGTGGACAGGACAAAAAAAATATTTATCCTGTCCCGTCCACACCTGTCAATTATTAAAATTATCTAGAGATAATTTCATCTACTTTTATAAAATATTTCTTGCGATTTTTTTTATTTAATGTATAGCCTAATAAGAGATGAATATATTTGACAATTTTGTTGCAAAAATAATATATAATAAATTACCTACAATTATTTTTATAAAAACAGTTTTGTGATTTGTCTCGTCCTTACGCTTGAAATGGCCGATTTAAATGTAAATAAAAAATAATTTAAATAAATAACTGTGTATATACACACACCCCATATGTTTGTTTTTTGGACTGTATTAATAAATATTACTGTTTTTTGAATGCCGCGAAA